GGAGGTAGCTTGTCTGCAAATCAGCCTTTTGAAAAAACAGCATTGGTAAAGGAAAACAGCATTTTTTAATCAAATATAATTACTCCTTATATCAGCAATAGTTATTTTTACTTGCTTTGTCATGCTTCAAGTCTTTATTTCGCACCCTACAAAATATTTTATATTTCCACTGAAGAAGTCCTAAAATTGTTCGTTTTTGAGAATTATTTTAGAAAGTTTATAAAGACAGCGAATTAATAAATCAAAATTTTTCACAATTTTTTGTCAAACGGCATATAAGGATTAAAGTCTAGCAAATGTTTAGGTGGCTTAAAACCACAACAGTCTTACCAATATTTGGTTGTTTTAAGTTATCTTCTTTTCCAGCATACCATAAAAATGCAAATATAAATAGATAAAAAACAGAAATAAACGAAAAAGTTAGAAAATAAATCAAAATTTTCACGTAAAATAATTAAAAAACCTTGATCTTTAGGTTTACAAATTTGGCCAGGCAGACATGCTGCAGAAACACATATGCCCGGATATAACGCAAATACAGGAAAATTTTGTCGATCTACACTTGTAAAGCGCTGCCAGCCGACAAGAAGACTGTCTCGAGATGTAGAATTAACATTGCTCATCCACTTGTCGCAATTTTGCGCCATCTCATAAATTTCATCGTTGCTCAGCACTGAGCTATAAAGCTAAAAAAACCGTTAAATTAATAATTTTCAACATGAAAAAGTCGTTCCACACTAGTTCCAGTAACCTTGATAAATGATAAACAACATTTTACTCAAGAAACTCTAATCAACTTATGACCAATTGAGAGATAACTGTGTAAAGAGCTTTAAAAAATTGCAGTAAATATGAATATTTCTGCAGTTTCAAAGGAAATCATAAAAAAGCACTGATCAGATAGCAAACGTCTGGTTGACAATTAAGGTATCAAACCCTACCTGGACAAGGCTAATTTCTCCAGTAAAATACTCAGTAGAATTAATATCCCTTCCCAAAAGTATTAAGGCAAGGGTATTTAATAGTGGAAGTCTCCTGTGAGCTGCTGGAAGTGAAACATTTCCGTTCAAAAGAACTTCCAGGGTACCATTTTCAAAAGCACGTAAACAAACCTTAAAAATATATTGTTAAAAGTTTATATACAGAAAAGAACAAACAAAAAACACTTTATAAACTTACATGGTGCCAAAATAGTTCATCTAGGTTCAAGATAAAAACCAATGCCCCTTCAAAGCGAATTTCTTGGGCACTTATTGTAATAATTTCATTGTTTATGCTGTAAACAATTGTTCATTGAAAAATTAATTTGGAAAATTCACAAAATTAGCAGTCAAATAAAACAAAGTTTCTTCACAGATAATTTAGTCGTTAAGGAAATGACTGAAAAATTAGTACAGTACTTTTTACGCAGTATATGGTGACAAAGTAAAAAATTATCATCAATTTTTTAATTGTGCTATCAAAATGCTCAAAAAGTTAATCACTTAGTGAGTTTAATAAATAGCTGAATAACATGCCTTTTTAAATTTGCGGTAGAAATTGTTAGAAATATTGCACTGCTGTTGCCATAAGTCATTTTTTGATCTGTTGCTCCGGGTTTAACCCAAAAACAAAGAGTAAATTCCATCAGCACAGATGCGTTAAAAGTTTCAGAGACAATGCTTCTGTTAAATGGTAAGCCGGTGAAGAAAAGGTTGTAATTCTCTTCTTTGTCTAAAACAACAATTTAAGGAACTGAATAGAAAGTAATTATGACTTTAAATGTATACTATCCAAGAAAAAAATTTAGTATTTTTTTGTTTGTAAAGAGCATACCAATTTCGCAGTGATCACCAGTAAACGATTTCGGACACTGACAGTGTGGAAGACCACCATAAACACTGCATTTGCCTCCATTAACACAGTAGGGTTCATTATTTTCTAACGTACATGGATCCTGAAATTGCAGTAACGTAAGGGAGTCTCTGTAGAGGAACAATAAAAGTACAGAAGAGAAAAATGCAGTCATCGTAAACAATAAGTCACTCCAAAAAAATTTTAAAAAAAGCTTAAACGGTACACGATCTACCTACTGAGATAAAGGTCATGAAATCAGTAATCATAAAATTTATCATTTTTTATACCAAATAGAGAAATATAAATAAATTGTTCACACTGGTTGTC